CTCAGTCAGAAATCGGAGAGAGTGTTCTCTCAGCTTCAGTATATCTACGTAGGTTTACTCTTATATGTTTGTTTTTAATCATTTCACCCCAAGTAAGGAGATAAAACCACTAGGATGTAAGGGGTTACTGAGTGTTAGAGAATATGAGGAAAAAAAACGCTATTACGGAGAGAGAACAATAAAAGATCAAGAGTTAAGAAGACAGAAGATAACAATTGACATTGCATTTAAATTTTCGAAGATCAAAGTCGACTGTGAAGCAAGAAGCCGGAAGAGAATTTATCAACCGAGAGCAGCGATAGAGAAAAATGTTAGCATAGAACATACGGTTGCATCTAAACAGTTCAACTGTAAAATGATGAGACCTAGCCGCCAATCAAGTACTGCGCTTAAATTCATAAACTCTAGCTACCATATAGAAGAGTTCATCAGAACGTTTACAATGAAATTTTTGTTTTTTTTTATTGAAAAGTCACAAGGAACCTACATTAAGACGGTGGGAAAATGGCTCAAACCAAGATGCCAAGTCAGAACCAATAACATTGCAGATTCCTCTTTGGATTTTATAAAGAATCTCTAAATATATAAAAGAGGCACTGGATCATATGAGACGGAAATATTCAAAGCATGGACGAATGGTAGACTTATAAATATGTAAGATAATTTCAGGAGAGAAAAATTGTCTAGCACAACAGTGTGAAATATCTTTTTCTACCAACAGACTTAGCAAATGGTTTAATATAAATATTCAAATTGAAGAATATTCAAAACTATGCGTTTTAATCAATATAAATTCATCATAGAAAGAGAGAATTAAAAAAACAAATATTGTTAATCCTTAAACTGCGGGAATCATAAAATTCATTTTATTTAAAGTGTAGATGCAATTACATACAAAAATGATTATTTCTTTAGAAAGTTATAATTAATACATGATTCTTATATTTATTTCTGCAGATTTTACGGCTGAGTTAAACATTGCGTGCTTAAATGTACTAAAACCTTTTTCTTCTTTTAAATATTCTCTACTGAAATGCGTCTAATATGTCTCGTTCATCTTTCATAATATCAAATGCGGTAATTTTATTTCTTATTTGATTTGACAATAAAAGTCTTTCCATTTCATCTCATTTTGAGTTTTTCTATTTTGAATTTCAAAATTTGGGAATAATTACTCTATTTACAACTCGTATAGGAAATTTAACCCTTAAACCAGTTTTTCTCAATTTTTTTTTTTTATATTCAATGTGCACTTGTAGAATATCTACAACTCTGGGAGCATTTTAAATTTTAATAAGAAAAAACTAGTCATGAAATTTAAAAACAGGAAAATAATGAAGAGATCTTAATTTTAAGACGTTACATTTTACGAGATATGATCAAAGGTATCGGGACTGATGCTATAAAACGAAAACCACAGTACATATTAATTGGCCATTTAATCTCCTTCGAAATAGTCCCCTTCTAAAACCATATGTGACAGCAATAATGATCGTTTCTTAGTGGCTTTACTGGTTGGCATCGGGTGATATGATTAAAAAGAATAACAGTTTTATTCAATCTGTTTTTTGTTTTTTTTTATTTCTGGGACGCACTTTATATTTGAATATCATACAAATAGTCCTGAAATTTAAAAATAGGAAAATAATTTATTGTTTTTATTTCTATAGATTTTACGTCTGAGTTAGACATTATGTACTTAAAACTTTTTCTTCTTCTGAATATTCTCTGCTGAAATGTGTCCACGTCTAATATGCTTCATTCCTCTTTCATAATATCGAATGCGATAATTTTATTTCTTATTTGATTTGACAATAAAAGTCTTTCCATTTCAACTCATTTTGTTTTTTTCTATTTTGAATTTCGAAATTTAGGAATAATTACTCTATTTGCAACTCGTATAGGAAATTTAACCCTTACACAAGTTTTTCTTAATTTTTTTGTTTTTTAATTCTATGTGCACTTGTAGAATATCTACCACTCTAGGGCGCACTTCAAATTTGAATAACGAAAGATTAGTTATAAAATTTGAAAATAGGAAAAAATGGTCTTATTTAAAAAAAAACAAAAAAAAAACGTCACATTGTACGAGGTCAGATAAAAATGTATCGGGACTGGTGCTATAAATGAAAACTACAACACATATCAATTCGGTATTTAATCTCTTTCGAAGTAGTCCCCTTCTGAAACAACAAATTTTACCCAGTGTCGTTTCCATTGAGGAAAGCATTCCTGGAACTGCTTTTTTTTTGTGGTGGGGGGGGGGCATAGCGAGCAGCTGCCTCGTCGCATTCATTTGGATTTCCTCGACGTCTTGAAATCAAGTCTCTTTCAAGTGGGATTTGGTCTTTGATGATTAAAAGTCGCAAGGGGTTACATCTGGGCAATATGATGGTTGTCAGACATGGTGAATGTTGTCCTTCATCAAAAACTGCTGCCCAATGGATAATCACTGATGGAACCTCTTTGATGTAGTGGATGGACCACACTCTACACACTTTCATATTCTCATTTCATTATCAATGCATTTAATATTTGTTCTGTTTTTGCATTTACTGTTAGTAAGTACAGAAAATCCTATTTTAAAGAGTTAGGATGTGGAAAATTGCAATAAAATATTCAATGCTATCGTAGGATCTTATTCTTGAATGGAAATCCAAAATCGATCGATGAACACCTCGTTACGTTTGAGTTGCAAGCCACTATCAAAGGATATAGTGATGAGCTCCTCTTTTACAGCAAAAGGGAAAGGATTATCCACTCATTCTTAAAGATTAAGACATTTAGCAACCAGTTTAAACTATCAAATGACAAATGATTTGACTTAGACATATGCACTTGGTGTCTCTACTTTTTAAAAATAAAGATTTTTAAATATAAAAATAATTCATAAAGTACTCTTCTGTTAACTTGGAGTGCACCTGACTACCTTTCAGGACGCACCCCGGGCGCATCATTTGAGAAACGCTTCCTTAAACAGTTAGAAAAAGTTGCTCGGACAAAATTTTTGTGTTCATCTGAAAATTAAAATTTTTATGTGTAGAGGTTCACGTAAAAAAATAATTTTCAAATGAATACAACTTTGCCTCAGAAAAATGATGAACACAACAATTTTTTTTGTGTTAGAAAAAACAAGTACCTGATGACGACATTGTGCTAATGTCGAAAGTACTCGTAATAAAATAAATATGCATCAACATGCTAATTTCCTTCCTTCGTTTAATAAGAATACTAAGAAATGTGTCCGTAATTACAAGAAGATCATATCAAATTAAGTAAATAAATATTGTTTAAATTATTTAAGCAGACATGTCTTAATGAAAACTGTATATATATATATATATATATATATATATATATATATATATATATATATATATATATATATATATATATATATATATATATATATATATATATATATATATATATATAGGCCCGTGATAGCGGCTTGGATTGAGGAATTGGAGAGCCGAGTTCTAATTCCAATCGAATCCAGTTAAATTCACTTGCGTGTTAATACTCTTGGGAAAGGTGTGAATACTCTTCTTCTCCCTTCAGCTATGGGTAAAAAGCAGGACAGACTGGGTTCTATAGCCTTGGTTGGCAACTGGTCTAGGAGAAGGACAACTCTGAATTCAAAACCTGCGGAGGGACGTTTGGGGACCTTGTCGCACTTAATGCACCAGGTCTCTGTATTTGGCCCTTCAAAAAGTGTGGATGGTCCTGCACAAAGCCTTCACCACTATAATCAAATTTCATGTGCTGTTATCGAGCTGTCGATTTCCTGGCAACTGATCTGCTTGACCCTCATACGTCGAATTCGGCGGGAGAGTCGAATATATATATATATATATATATATATATATATATATATAGAGAGAGAGAGAGAGAGAGAGAGAGAATACGACCGCAACCTGGTGACCGTGTTTTGAAAATAAAAAAAAAATCATCCTTATCTCTATAGATACATTAATATAAGAATCTACATGAAAAAACATTCTGGTAATGGCTAATAGTTTAGTCGGAAGCGTTTAGATCCACAGATCATTTGAACTGTTTTTACACATTGTGTGTCCAGAAAAGAATTAAAAAAAAACAGATGCGTAAATAGAGACTGAATGTAGCAACATTCGAAACTCTCGAAAAAATAATATAAAATAAAAATAAATATGAACTTTTACAAATTTACCGAGAAACACAAAACAACTATTTCAAAAATTTCAAAAATTATATAAAAAATTGTTAGACAGAACTTATTAGTAAATATATATATATATATATATAAAAGAAAGAGGTTGGAGTGGTTCCAACGAGAGAAATGTATGTATATTAAAAAGAAGAGAAGAGAGGTGCCGCAAACGTTTTTGGTTGTAATGTGGATTTTTTTAAAAAATATTATGCTTTATTTTCCATAATTTCACTACACGTGTTTCTGGTCTCAAGACCGTCTTCAGGTAAAAGGCGGAGATTTCAACGTATTATTAAAAATAATTAATTTTTTCCTTATGTTTTCAATGTTAAATATTCTCGATATGAGACATTCTCTGTTTTTATGTTAGTAATCCGAATGTCTTTCTTGAATTGGCAATGAAGAGTTTATATATATAATTTTTTTTCTCCTGATGATGGCTATGTTGGCCGAAACTAGTCAAGGAAACTAAATGAAATAATAATAATAAAAACGAAAGTGTATTAATCTACAACCCAGTATGTCTGAAGATTTTAATGTTATGAGTGATACTGAAACGTTCTTGGCTCGACTAAAATGTGATTCCCTCTCCCAAATGAGAACTGGGTCAGCTGAATTTTTTTTAACTTCCTATCTTATCAGAATATTTGGATAGTTTGATACACGTGCTTCTGTTTATTGTTGCATAAATATTTTCCCGATTTCTAAAGGTACAGATTTTATAAATACGACTGAATAACGCGAATGCCAATAAAATCAGTTAGCTGTCTCTGTTAATAACAGCTTGACAATGAACTTCTTTATTAAC